GCAAGAGATCAAAGCTCAAGAGAATGGATAACCTATAAACAGAGCACGACATCGATAGCAAAGTGGTATACTTGTTATAAAAGGTTAGCTATTAACGTACACCACTTTAAGTAATGACATTCCCCTTTTTGTGATTAATTATCGCAGAGTGTGAAATAGGCTGTATCGCTAAATGTATAGACGTCTTCAGGATAAGCACCTGAGAGAATTTTCAGTTTGGTTTTAATAATCTTCTCAGTAAGAAAATCAAATTATCATCCTACAAATCTTCCAAAAAAGAATCTTATATATGAGAAAATTCAAGATTGCACACCGGGCGATTCGATAGTGGAAATTACCCAATTATTTAGACACATCCAAACCATTACAAATACAGTTGGATTTAGTAGAGCAAAAATGTAAACTTTGGTGGAAACTACTTTGAAAAAGTACTTTGAGATAGTTTGGAAAGAAATTCCTTTTTAGTTACGTTAACGTGCCGCTCATACATTTCTGATTATTGCAAACTGATTCTCATACTTACTTTGATACTGAATGTAAAATTATTCTTCGTTACTGAATTCCAACAATTTTAAACGTATGTCGAAAGGTTTCTTCGAAGATTTTTCGTGCTTCGCTTTAAAAAGGGCTATTCTTGTACGAAATTAGCGCACGTATCATGTGACAAGCTCGATTGACCTCAACCGTCTGCCTACGTTTAGGTACTTATGCTTTTTGAAATGTCAGAAGATTATTTATTGGTTTGAATTATCATACAATATACAGGCATCGTGCAATATTTGACCTTGAGTGACGCTGCAAATGTTGTGAAGCTCACTTTTCGACGTAACAGAAACTTTCCAAATGTCTTTCAAAACACTTGTCTTTGTTATAATCATTAATGATAGTTTATGGTCATTGAATTATAGCTGTCTATCGGGCACAAATTGTCCTGTCATAATTGGTCATTATTTTCACACACAAATTAGTTTGTTGTTATTCTCTTTTTTGGATAAAAAGGAGTAAATTTACGCCTCTTTCATCTCATCTCAGAGATTTGAAAGTGCAATATTTTGTACAAAGCTACGCTTCAAAAGAGGTCTTTGACGAAAGAGCACAATCATCACCCCAAGCAAAGAAGCTCTAGATCTATTACGTCAAACCCATCTTAAATAACCTATGAAATCAATTTAAAGAAGACTTTCTTAAATGAGACTATTTTAAATAATACACGTAACTGATCCAAGAAAGCTCGGGCAAGCCCTTAAGTGTGTTAAATTAACCAACACTAGTAGCTAGCTGAAAAAATATTGCATTCCCAATAATTTTTTTTCATACCCAAATCAACCAAACACTTTTAGTCTTTTACTGTAGTATAAGCAACCCATGTAAGAATATAACTTTATATATTTTTTATATAGTTTATATATTTTTATAATAAAATATGTATAAAAATTAAAGATTCTCCGGATTGTATAAAATGATTTTTATTGAGCTTTCGACTCGTTGCTTCGAGCCTTCATCAGAATGAGGAAATTTTCTATTTTCGAAGCAACGAGTCGAAAGTTCAATAAAAATCATTTTACACAATCCGGAGCATCTTTTATTTTTATACATTAAATATGCCTGGATCACCAATCTTTAAACTTATAATAAAATATATATCTAGTACTATAGCTTTATATAGCTAGTACTTTTGATATTCATATAGTATTTTATAGCACTCATAGCATTCTAGCCTTTATATTATGTATTGAAGTATATAAGTCTATAAAAATGAAGAGCTTGTTTCAGAACTATTGTTTAATCACTCAACGGACTGTCCTGTTCTAACAAAGACTTGTGATATAATCGTAGGATGTAACATGTATGTATTGTTTCACAAAGCAGTTTTATCGCTATGAATAATATGGCAAGCTACTAATTAAGTCATGTCGATCTCAATAGCTAGTGACCATAGCTTTATGTACAGTTGTTTAGCGCGTTTTCATTCAATATAGTTAAAGCTGTATGTATTAATTGAACATACAATCTGCTCATAATTTGATACAATTGATAATTAATGTAAATTCGCTCGCACATCGCAAGAAAACACGGGCCAGTATAAATTCACAAAGCGTCTTCTTTGACACATATAGAGAATATCTTCAATGCAGCTGAATTTATGTAAAAAAAGACGTTATTTTTGACTCGTTTTCCCCTATCGTAGAAGTTAGATTCGTATTTAAAATTCATTTGATCTATAATTAGTCGGATGAAAACGTTGTGAACTTGTGATTGCTAGTTACAAAATGCCAAGTGCTACGTCGGTTATTTCAAATTTTACTTTATTGCTCCATTTGTCGAGAAAGCTTTAGACGCGCATCGCTGCTGATGTTTTCATGGTGATGTTTAATTTGATGGAAAATTGATGGCGAAAAGCCAAAAATAGAAAACATCGCCGAAACAACAATGACTGTCTTATTTAAATACCTTTTGAGTCATACCACAGTGTTTTAAGGAATCGCATTCATGACTCGAGTCGCGTGAGTGATGCGAATGGCAAAAGAATGTACTTTCTTAAATAAAAGCAAGCTCGCTTTAAGTTTCCTCTCTTCTCGTTCACTTTCCAACTAAATATCTACCGCACAACATTTGAAGTTCCTTAAAGTATCACGGTTTTATGTAAAAAATGAAAACAATATGCTTGAAAGAAAGAGAAATTAATCCCGATAAAATTATGTTAAAGAGTGCATTCGACAAGAGCTTGAATTAATTGATGAAAGCTGTAAAATTTTGAATAATCAATCTGTTGTTCAGTTACTTGTTAACATATATTTTTATTTTATTAATCTGTTTATTACTGCATTGCCACAAAATAGTGAGCTGCATATGATCGCTATATGGAGGAGAAAATGTCAAGCAAAAGTACGGTCTTTAAGGTTCTTCATTAAACAGAAAGTAGCTAAAAACGCCTTCGACACCAAATACATAAAAATAAGGCGTGCACATGGAACCGTCTTTATCTTATAGTTTGTCAAACTTGTAAGAGAACTACTTACATCACACAGTATTGATAAGCGTTGCAGTAACGGCCAAATTAGGTAAAACCCACTTTAATCGTTGTGTGCTTTAATAAAGATATCGGTGCCAATATCTGAACTAAGAAAAGTTTGTCTTCAAGTGATTTTATCTATCACACCTTGTTATCCAAAGCACTGTACTTACTTTCGGTTTGCCAGTTGTAAAACTTCTGTGGTGAGTTTGGTTTTTTCAGAAAGTTATATAACGCATGCCACGTGTTAAAATGGAATGTTACTGATCGCAAGATTGCAGCACAACAACTAAAAAGTTAAGGGGTTTTCAAACAAGCTCTCGTTGGGGGCATTGGAAAGTACTTGATGACACTTGAAGCTCCTCGACATTTTAAATAGCACATTGTTAATAACAAAGCTAAGGAATTGTTTATTACTTATCCTCCTTCATCTTCCTAAACATTTTTGTTGAAAAAATTTTCAAGCAAATTCTAGAGAATAACAGAATGGTTAAATCATATCTTTAAAAAGAGCTTTGATCAATAATCAAGTCAAGGCTGCTCAAGAGAACTCACACGAAACTACACGAAACTACATGTGTTTGTGTACATATTCAAATAATTGGTCGTATTCTTCAATGAAAACAATATAGCAATTATCATACTATTATTTAAAGCCACAAACTGACATCAGATAGCAGTTATAACATCTATTAATTGAAATATTTTAGTCAATTTACAGATCACGCCCTTGCACGAAAGATTCGTCGATCATAACTTACGCACACTTCTGTGTTTCTCTTCACTTTATTGAAATGCTAATTACAACTTGATTGCTCCGAATGTAAACACTGACTTATTCAGTCCTATACTTAACAAAGCAATTCTAAAACAATGCTTGATAAGGATATCTGAGACTACAGTATAGGGAATATACAGTTGGTCCATTTCGTGAGCAACCGTAAGCCATTTCATCATTGCCATTGATGAAAAAAAGCGACTGATGGGCTGCCACTCTATGGTACGTGCGTAATAAGAAATATGCATGGCACGAACAAATTTAATGCAGTGACTCTTCTGTATGTATTCATTATTCTGTGCCTAAGACAACATCCACTTAATGTCTTTCTTTAGTTGCTTACTTTCCCAATTTTTTAGGCAGATAATCCTATCCCTTATCCCTTCCATCATTTCGTTATCTTTAACATCAAAAAAGCTTGCAAACGATAAATTGCTATTTGACCACATGGACGAATTTGTGGACAATACAAAAACAGAAAAATGACATTAAATTTGGACGTCTCAGTCATCTGACCTGGTCCCTACGGGTTACCAGACTAAAGAGTAGAAAACTATAAATAAAGTATATGCATATATTTTGATAACAATTATAATAATGCAACAAAACAACTAACGTTTATTTATCCCTGTTGCCACCCTATTCACATAAGTACATTTACAAGTATATCGCTTGATAAACACATTAATTTGAGGCTGCGTTTACACTATACAGGATTCGCTGTTTACGACATCTTTATTTGGTTTAAACGGGTAACTGTACGGAGTAAAAGCTTATTACGCTGATAGATTTAGTCTATTTGATTGTGTTTCTGACGTTGAACAATTTCACTGCCTTTTAATGAAAAGAATATTCAACCTGCTACGATAGCAATCCGGTATAGTGTAAACGGGGCTTGACTTTCCCACGATGTTAAATGAAGGGATGCTGCATTCTCCCAAATCACTCCAAATCAAAGAATTCTTAAGTTTCTGTGATTGAAGGTCTACAAAGTTCGGAAAGTAACGAGAAAAAAACATACGGTTTTAGTACTGATGATACTTATGTATAGTTGTTTAAGCAACAGCTTTATAGAAACTTCTCTGCGAAATTCTAGAGCCAATATAGGGACTCGAGAAAACTCGAGCACTTGCGTGAAGTAATTACGGGAAATACCGTACGTACCGGTCGTTTACGATTATCACAGAGAATGATGGGATATATTATTGGCGAAATTGGCGGGACCCAGGAGCTATAATGTGACAGTTGATATATAAAAACATGTAGAATATACTATGTATTTTATATTTTTGTGGTTAAAATTTAAGGAAATGGTATAGTAAAGTGCAGAAGTACATCGAAAAGGCGTCTATATTAAACTATTTGCAATTGCAATGGCATCTAAAGTAAGTTTTGTCTTGAATGATATCAAATTTAAAGAACGTTTATTTTGGTGTTCAACCCTTTGAACTAAAATTATGTTCATCCTCGAGTCTAAAATTCTCTTATTCGTTGTTAGACACGAGTGTTGGCTCCTGCTTATCAGGGGAAAGAATTCATTGGCAGGTATGTGAAGTTGAATAAATGGCTAGATTTTGCTATTGATTTATTTGGCTTCATAAATGAAAGACACAGTTTTACCGTATTACCAAAGTGTATTTAAACGGTGCCTCAACCTTGCAAGGTTTCATGATGGCCATGAGATACACTATGAGATACTATGATAGTAAAATTTTATTTAATTCCAATCCTTCGTGCTGGAGATCTTTGGTTTCAATTTGTGTAGCATGCAGGCTTCAAGAAATGCACTGCATATGTTATTCTGAAGATGGAAAATTGTGAAAGTAATAAGGCTTGCCAAAATTAAATCTAGGCAATTCATTTTATCTCTGTGGAAATCTTGAAAAAGCATGAAAATTCTCGAGTTTGCTATCATTATATTGAAATTATTTTGAGCACTCAGAATTTCATACATGCTTCATGAGATGTGATTGAAAAGCTACCAAGATGTTTTATTTTATTTTACACTATTTACTGTTCAATATGTACAACAGCTATACAGCATATGCACAAAACTCTAGGAATAAAAATATTGCTTTTCAGTAGTGAAATGCTTATCTAGCTGCAACTGCTACTGAATCCTGTTCAGCATTGTGCACTATTGGTATTCCATCAAATGTGATTAACATGGTTTTTTTTTGCACTACGTTTATTTATTTATGGAAGGACTGGGTTGCTCAGATAGCTTTATTGTTTGTTCCTCTTGTGTTTTTGCTGTCCTTTATTTATGAGGCTCTACTTGTTTCACACATCTTTATCATAATCTTTAAACCCATGGAAAGCATTTCACCCTATCCAATCCCATTAATCTACCTAATTCAATTAGACACTCTAAGCATCTACAAGCCAAAAGCAAGTGTAAATAGATAATTTCCTCATTCTGATGAAGGCTTGAAGCAACAAGTCGAAAGCTCAATAAAATTATTTATAAAATCTGGAGAAATTTTTATTTTTAAACAATCTTTAAAGTATACATCCATGTTCTTATTGCAATATACTATGTTTCTCAGGCATACCTTGGAAGTTATCAATGTCAATGCTCGAGTGGGAAGAAATGGTGTGGAACGCATCAGTGATTATTTTCGAGACATGGGTATGTTCTCCATTTTGCTTTCTACCATACTGTTTTAAAGTAACTGATCACTGAGAGAAACTATTGTTCTAAATTGTCCAAAAGAGGTTTACCTTGGCATTCATAGGTGATATCACTTTAAAGTATGTAAATAATTTGAAGCTGGGAGTATTGTTACATGTTTGTACATAGATGTAGATTGTCCAGGTTAGTAGAGTCCTGAAATGGACAGTTAGTGTTTACAGTTCTTCTCGGGACTCTGCTAACCTGGATGATCTACATCTACAAACATGTAATGATATCAATATGTCAACAACCTTACAAAAACAATGCTTGCATGAATTACTAGCTGTGCTGTATATGCATGTAGAAATCCATATCAGTCCATAGGTATCAGTTTATAATGGATTACTTTGATACATGGATATCTATATCAATGTAATCATTGTAGGTATTTACTATTATAAGGTTCTTAATATTGCCAATATCACATTTTTACGTTGTTACTGTGATTATCAATTTTCTACATGGTCAAACAGTTGCATTTCCAGTTGTAGTAAGAGCATTGCATGAATTAGAAGTACATCAATACCAGTCAAAAAGTGATCCTTTAATTTTGAAATGTCTATGAATTGATTTACGGATGCATCACTCATTAGAATTCACGAGCAATCTTATGCTTTGTACTTTTGCTATTGAATTATAATAAATTAAGGATAAGAAACCTTTTAATGGAGCAGAAATATGTACCTTGGTGCCAGATGAAAGATTCTCGAACAAATCACTGAAGAAAATTTTAGTTGTGTTGAATTTTTATAATTTTTTCTAAGTTATTATTTAGTTGAAGTTCCTTCTCAATTACTTGACCTTGTTTTCCCTCGATATTTCTTCCTGATCTCATAAAAATGTTAAAATTCTTAAAGAATCTTTCAATGCAGATTCGGATTCAGAAGAAAGTGATTCCTGTGAAAAATCGAACTCTTCACAAAATAATATCAATGGTTCCATGAAAAAGTGCACGAAAAGTACACGAAGTAGAAGAAAATTTCCTGTTGAAAAGTCATTACAACCATCACCAGATTCTGCCGTCTGTAGTGCCGAAGACATGCCGTACAACGTGGAAAATGTCGCTCATCATAATGAAGAAACGAGAAATAAAATTTTGTCCAACAACTCTAAAGGAAGTACGAAAAGTTCTCAAGTGCAAGAGAAAAGCTCGAGGGGAAAACCAGAAGATTCACCTATTAATCAAGAAAATGTTCCAAAAAACACCATTACCTCATCGTCAAAACCAGTTTCATCATCTTGCAAACAGAACCTGTCCCCTGTAAAATCTGCTCATGCGCATGAAAAACGGAAATCGTCTCCTTCTCCTGTACTGGTTTTATCAACTCCCAAAAGATCAAGCAACCATCCTCCGGCTAGTGTAAATGCATCAGAGGTCGATATTCCTTCGTCAACAGAAGATAATGTTAATACTAAAAGCCCTAGAAAAAGGTTAGCTGTATATGTACATCTGTCTAACAGTTTGGTAAATTGCGCATTTTTAAATTTGGGGTTTTTTTCGATTTCAGGTTGCGATTTTCACTGACAAATACCAGTTTATTTCCAGATAACAAATTACACGACGAAAGAAGCTCGTAAGTTGTTTCACAACGGGCTACACTTTTAAACGCGGATGAGCTTTTGGAGGCTTTAAAATCTTTTCAAGTACCCCCTTTCTCGTCAGCTGTACATTTTTTAAAATCGCCGTGAAAGATTATGTAGCAAAGATATAGATAATAGATAATTTTCGTTTCACTTTGTTATGCGTCCCATTCCTTGTAAACATTGAAACCTATCTATTGGATTGCTTTCAGCGCTGAAGATTTTCTATGATTTGTGAATGTTTTTCTGAGAAATCGACCAAGATGGTGACCAATAACCATCAGCGATTTTATTTTCAGGCATATTCGAATAACGGCCGTCGAAGTGGATGACGTCATTCAAAGCAACGACACGTTCCTCACATTAAAGAAGAAAACTAACCGTGCCTCTCGTGCGACTCCGGCCAATGTTTCTACTATTAGAAAAGCGTGTAGTCGAAGTAAAATTCCGATACCTAAAAGTAAATCCAAAAATATTTTGAAGAAATGTGCCCCTCGAAAACCATTGACGGAAGTGCGTGGCACAAGCAACGTGTTAGAGAAGCAAACGACAGAAGGTGATTTGGAGGACGACTGTGAGAAAAACATGGATGCAGACTGTAAGTACTTTTGAACCTATGAAATTTGTGTACATGTCACTATTTGGTTACAATGGTGTAGCTAACCCCCAGAATTTGGTCCTCTTTGCAATTTTTGTGTTCACTTAATGTAAAAGCAATATACGTATTTCTAAAGAAATGAACAACGATAATACTTTGAAATGTCACATAACTGAAACAAAACTTCCGGGCTTCCATGAACAGAATTAGATTAGTTTGACATTTGGTTAATAGCAACTGCGTTTATCGCACGAATCGCTGTTCATTGATACAATTAGTACTGTTTCATTAGAGTTAGTACTCTCCCATTGACCTAAACTGTTATCTCTCTAAACAGATTTTCGTGAAGCAGGCACAGCGAAATCGTTGAAAAGCAGGAAACATGCTTCAGAAATTTCCTATGAAGAGAATGGACCTCAACCTGCTGCTGCTCATAGTATCAGACTGACAGAAAAATCTTCGCGTAAGACAAACAGCAGACTTGTTAACAAACTTCGGTCAGCTAAAGAGGAAAAAAATGTGGAATCTTCAAGAAACGCGAAAAGAAAAGCCAAACGTTCTGCTGAAAAGCGTGTCAATGATTCAAACTTAAAAGGTTTGAATTTTTTATTTTTATCAATGAAAAGTTTTCGTGCTGGTCACGACCAAGCAACTACCATGCCATATGACCCTGTCCAGCTAAAAGTGTTCACCGTAATTTTATTTTGTATTTTTGTATTTCATCTTATGAATAGGGAATACTCGAAGTACAAAAGCAATCGAAACTTTTGAAGTAAGCGAAACAAGTAAAACTCCTTTAGAAAAGGACGACAAAATTGGGCACAGATCCTGGAACGAATCCATTGAAGACGATTTGGAGATACCAATTCATAATTTGGACGTGAATAGTCCAGAAAAAAATACGAAAGTAGTTCGAGCTCCGAGAAGAGAAAAGAAAAAAAAGGGTATGTCGCAAATCACCATTAAAATTGAAGATGCATGCGTTGTCGTTTCGTTCATTCAGGAATGAAATTAATAAATTGCAATGTGTAATAACTTTTCATTCTCAATTCGATTTATCGATTTAAGTCGAGTATTTCATCTACATCGAACACTCCATTAGCAGAAAAGAAGAACGAGCTGTCAGCTTCAAACTCGAGTGGCAAAACTGCACACAAATCGTCTAAGGATTCCATCGAAGGCGATTCGGAGACAGCATCTCATAATTCCGTGTCGTCCGACGACATGGATGCCTCTTCATCTGTAGTACGTAAAGGAAAAGTTCCAAAGAAACGAAGCGAAACTCTTGACATTGAAGAGAGTACAGTGACGAAAACTAAACACAATGGAGGTTGTTGCTATACACGTTCCATGATTCTTTTTTCACAAGCGATATTAGCCTTCCACGCTCAGTTTACTTAACTTTATTTAGTCTTGACTTCTACTTGATATTTACTAGAAAAACTAGTTGCGAAGCTGTTGGAAAGCGTGACAGCTGAAAACGCCGAAGAAGATAAGATTTTGGGTCCAAGAAGAAGTAAACGAAACCGTGTCCCTCCTCTACAATTTTGGAAAAACGATCGCATCGAATACGAACGGCGTAAATCAGGTACGCGAGAAGCATAGAGAGAGAGAGAGTTCTATTCTGCTGTGGAATTTTAGTACTCCGTACACCGTGAAGAGTATAGATTCATATCTCCACCATAGGACGTAAATCTTGGTTTAAAAAAAGACCTTAAACTTGGTTCGAAAAAACGCATTGCTTTTTTCTCGTCTGTAAAGTTCAGCATAGCAACCTGAAAAACGCTAACAGGAGCCACGTATTTTTTTATGGTATTGTGGGTCTATCTTATCTCATACAAATAACCATCCATTTCACTCAAACAATATAGATTAGAAAGATGAGTGCGTTGCTACCACTCGTTGATTGTCGGAAATGTTTCTGTCAACAATAATGGTCACTAGATCAATCAGTATTACTATTGTTTTGAACCAAATCACACTACAATGTTTCTTCACCTTTTTGACATAGTACTGTCGAAGTCAACAAAACTCTTCCCCCTCCCCGGTATAGCGTCCATGTGAGTAATACGCGCGCGAAATAATTAAACTAAATTAATGTCTTAAACGGCGATATTTATATTGATATCGCATCTGAAGAAGAGCGGGTGCCATTTTAACCTGGTTTTCATAAGCACGTTAACTGTGATTATGCGTGACGTCGCCATTTACACATATACGATATTCATTAATCTTGAGAAACGACCAATCAAATCATCGGGGATTTCTACCAACCAGACTTTAAATCATTCACTCGTACTTTCTAGTCCTTTACATTTGTTGCTTTTATATGATGGTTGCGTTTTTGAATATATTTAGGTTTTATCGTGAAAGACGTAATCCTCAATCCAACTCCGGAAATATCTCGTCGAAAACGTAGAGCCAACTACGCTCCAAAGCATCATTCAAAAAAAGGTCAGTCCTCTGTGTTCAGCTACTACTTTTATTTTCAAATAATTTTCCGTAACTACAAAATTTGAGCAAAAACTATTTCGTCGTGCTTATTAAATTTAATCCTTTTTATAGTCCTTGTTTGACTTGACGAAATTTTAATTTATTTTCGTATTTTCTCATCGCGAGATTGTGTTATGTTTATCGAATCAAAAGCGCCTTCTTCTGTTTGAGAAACTATTTGTTGCCACAATAAACGTTTTTCTTTTTGTTCACTTGGCGGCTACATACCAATTATTTTCAGTTCAGAATACGAATATACTTTATTTCTTGTATACAAGTTATTACGTAAGTTGTATAATAGCTGGGGATGCCCCTATCGATGCCAACAGAGTACGCGGAGGCTCAATTTTTTTTCAAGTCAACGCACGCGTACCATCGATGCCAGTGATAATTATTTAGCTTATAGATTTTCTTGATCTGTTGTTTATTTTGTGCAATTCATGTGTTTTTAGCCAAGCGTAATGATATGAAATCTTCAGAAGACGAATCAACCGATTGGGTAAAGTACACTGCCTTTCAATTCAATTCTTGTTCAGGTTTTGAAAGGATAAGCAAACGGAAAATATGTGGATTCCGGTTGTTATTGCAGCAATATTCGTTCATTTGTTCATATTGATCATCTTAGAGCATGTTTTATATATCAGGGATGGATGTACGATCTACCTACGGAGGGAGGTACAACCCTTTCTGGATTTTGAATTTGCATGTGTAGAAGTGTCATTACACTTCTGGCTTGGTTATCTCATCCATAAGCTCACCCTTATATCTGATCCAAAGTTACAAATCTTTTCACATAGAAAATGCGTGGAATCAATGTCATTGTATATTACCTTGTCGATCATTCAGTGCGATTCGTAATTCTAATAAGGATTTTTACGATTGTGAATTTTTGAATACCAAAATTATCGTTTCATCTATTATTTAGAGTGATGTTGAAATTCCGAATGGATTGTGTAAAGTAAATGATCCCATGGGAACGGTCATTGATCCAAATACAATGCAGGAGGTGCAGATGTGTAAGTGTGAAACGGTTCTGGTTTATTACTCGTGCTCTGGAGGGGCACGAGAAGAGGTTTCGGCATAGCGTAGTTCAATAAGATTAAGGGTTAGTGATCAATTTGTTAGTTTAGAACGTACGTTGATTAATCTGTTAATGATTTATCCAGTCATCTCTCGCCGAAAACAGGACTGGTGCGACCTTGCATTGCTCTTTATAAGCCAAGCTTTAAAGTTCAAGTGTTAATTGGCGCAATGAGAGAAGTCAAAATTGTTATGACAATTTGAATAGATAAAATTGTGGAGTTTCCAAGGGTCTGTATTTAAAATGAACATAGCTTATATGGCACGCGGTATAGCAAATGAGTTTGTTTAGCAATTGTGCGTTTGGAAGTCTTGTATTTTACGTTTGTGACTACTCCTATTTGCTTTATTTAAAGGTGTTTATCACCCTGGCGAGAAGCTGCACTTAAAATCCCCCGAGAAAGGAAACAAACAGCTGGTATTCAAGAAACACCTTAACACGGAGGATTTTGGAGTTGGAGAATTGACATTGGGCCCCAGTGCTGAGAAAGGCAGACAGCACGTAAGACGTGACGTAATGGTGAGCGATATATTTTTTGTGTTGTTGTGTTTTCCTCACGAAAATATTTTTGTGATGTGGCATTTGTTTTCATGGCAAATGTACTGTAAACCATGTTCACGGCTATAAGTGCACTTTCTTTTAAGAGCACTGGAAAGGATTTCGCATTTTATCGAATACACTCCCTTTAGAAGCTCAAACCTTTCGAGTGCCTTTTTTCTAAAAATGAAAAATGTAATGCAGTGGTGGATCTAGGATTTTGTCCTGTTAGGGTGCATCATTGAGAACTTACGGGAACTTATGAAAGGGAAACTTATGGGAACTCAGAAAGGGTTGTACACCCTTTGCTGCGCCCTTACTCTAGATCCGCCCCTGTCTTGTGTACTTTCATCTGAAGATGGAGGGGGGGTAGAGTTCTCGTTACATCTAATTTGCATTAAAATTTCTTCCATTTTAAAATTTCGACCCATGCGTCTGTTTAGCGATCTCTAAATCATGAAATTTTGAAAAATATGTTCCTTACTTTTCTTTGTAATTATTATTGTCAAGATATTCTATGTTTTGTCGGGGAAAGTTATGGTGACCATCCACAATGACAGCTTTGTGGCTGTTAAAGGATCAACATTTTTCGTTCCTCAAGGTACGCAAACTGCATTTTATTTATTACATTGTATTTTGCACATCTTGCCATCAAAAGTATCTACTACCTAAATTGGACTTCCCCTGTTGCCCTAATTATGTGAACGAAACTTAAGTTTTATCTTTTGATTTTAGGCAATACTTATAACCTCAAGAACCTACATCGACGTATGAACGCTCGCCTTACATTCACACAGATCAAAAATAAAATTGTGTAATTATGTTGAAATTTCTGTGTTGCACAATTATAAATTCGGATGTCTTAATACGTGTTTGTTTTGAATTATAATTTTTTAAATATTTTGCATAACTTTTTGTTGGCTTTTTATTAGAAAATTTCGAAAGCAGGTAAAGATTTTATGATTTGTTACGTATATTCTTTTTTATTTCTATATTATGAATTAAAGGAGTGTAAAGCTCCTATGCTTAATGAATATGAAATCTGGTACGAAATAAAGTCTAAGTGTAGAGCATGATTGTTGTTAAATCATAGTTCCTATTGTTCTTGGTTTCTTGCACTCTATGAATTAAATAATCTACACTCGTTTTCGTGAAAGAGCTGTTGGAGGTACGTAGAGCTCCCAGATGCAATTGCTGCAGCACAAGATCATTTACATTCTAATCCATAGACATGTCACATTGTTTGGGGAAAAAGGAGTTTCACTGACGACAAGAATAAATTGGATCAACGACCTGTTTGGTTGACATGAACTTAGGGAAACTGGTGTTATGTTTTGTCATCTGTGAAAGTGAATGTTTGTTTTTGTCAATTTAGACACGTGTATGTCATGTGTGATTGTATTTGTGCAACAATGATTAATTTCATATAAGTAAAAGTAACTGATACAGTCCAGGAAACACCCTATATAAACACTGATGGATACATTTGCAAACACCCTATGGTCACCAATAGTCACTTATGACCATCTACGACTTATACATGCGCTGTCACGTGGTTAACGTTTGTGACTAGTTACCAGATTCTTTAGCCATTTTTCATTTCTTGACTTTTAAACATGGCGGCTGCTGCCAGAATTTTATCGTCAACTGCACGAAGAATATTGCCCAAAGTTTATCGCAAGATACAAATTTCCCCTGGTTTGAATTCTTGTTTGCAGAACAGACTCGGTAACTAATTTCATTTTACTTTGATAAGAGTCAGCTTAATTTGCCGTTTGTTATGGTATCAATTTTTTATGGAATTTTTTCTCATAGGCCATAGCGCATTTTATTCTTTTGGCTTGTAAGGAACCTGATAATATTTTTACCGAAAGATATCCTCTCCTACATCTTTGCATTAGTAATGTCAGAAGGGTTAAGTTAGCATAGTAAATTTATCTACCTAATAACCATCAACAACTATAATGATATGTATTTATAGCATCAAGTAAACCTGGGGGGAGGTCAGATTGGCCTGATGATGGTTTGGGTCTTGGTAACTATCCAAAGCTTCCTGACATTTCTTCGCAAACAAGAGCTCCCCATGGATGGTGGGACGTTCAGGAGAAAAGGAACTTTGGTGACACTGTATGTTTTTTACAATTAATATTTTCATCGTATTGGCATCATAGACTGGAAAGTTTTTTTACACACTTGAGATGTGTGATGTGTAGTTTCTGAAAAAAATAGGCCTTTAGTGCAAATTTCAAATCTTGGGTGCACATTTTACAAACTTTCCTGTCTGGTGGCACCCAAGATCTCGGATGCGCACTTTTGAAGAAAGTAATTCACTATGCATGCAAACTTTGAATCTTTCGTATGTGGTTTATAAACAGTCTGTTCTGGTTGGCTACATTTTCACAAAAAATTTTTCTGAGTATGGCAACCTTTTTACAAATAAATTTTTTGTAGTAATGTTCACTTCATTTACTATATCATGAATTTGTTTTGTTTCAGATAAATTATTTTTATCATGTTTATGGAGAAAATCAACATTTCGTTGAATCGCACTAAAAGAAGCAATTTTATGTGTATCAAGTTTAATTTGCATTTCTTACTGCTAGATGTAGGCGCTTTTATGCTAATTTATTAAAAATTTTTGCATAAAAGTACTGATGATCTGGACTATTTCTAGTTGCACGAGGAAGATGATGCATACAATGTTTGGATGTATGATGCACCAGAGAAGAGCAAATATCCACCGTAAGCATTTGTTCTCATTTATCTTAATAATGGAAATTAAGTGCTAATTAATCTTTATTTGCACATTTATATCAATCTTGAAGCAAGGAAAGGCCTTCATGAATCATCACTATCATTGTAATTGCATACAACTGAATGAAATGAATTATCTAAAGAAAATTAATTAGTGAAGAAACATAAAGTACTTGTGCTGGAAGTTTACCTAAATAGTAGTAAATCTTGCAGGCTTTGTTAGTGTAGTAAGCCTGCTTTGATCTGTGTGAATTTTTAGAAATAAAGCTGTTTGTCATCTCATGACCATGTTTTCATTGCCTACTTTGATCTGTGTGATTTTTTTAGAAATAAAGCTGTTTGTCATCTCATGACCATGTTTTCATTGCCTACTTTGATCTGTGTGATTTTTTTAGAAATGAAGCTCTTTGTCATCTCATGAACATGTTTTTATTGCTTGCTTTGATCTGCGTGATTTTTTTTAGAAATCAAGCTCTTTGTCATCTCATGAACATGTTTTTATTGCTTGCTTTGATCTGTGTGATTTTTTTAGAAATGAAGCTCTTCGTCATCTCTTGACTATGTTTTCATTGCTTGCTGTATTTATGTATGTTGGTTATCTTTATGGAAAAACTGAACGTGGGAACCGCTGTAAATATGTAAGTTTAGTATGAAAAATGTTCCAAAGCTTCTTAATGAACTTATTTAATTCGAGCTAGGTTAATGGCAGATGTATTGGTAGCAGGTAGCATGACTTCTGACATAAATTAGCATACTAGACGATGACGTAACATGGAAATATTTATCAGCATCATTGCTTTGCTTCCTTCAGCACTAACTGCCTTTATCTTGTTGATTGCATTCCATGCCCAGCAAACATAACTGCTATGTGTACTGCTCTCCAGCATACAATTTTCAGTATTTTTAATACTCAATGTATTAAATTGATAGTCAATTTGCTCGTTATCCAATAATAGTCCGGCTTCTCTGGTGCTATTTGTTTAACCTGCGTTTTCGCACCACTATTTCGTTATTTTTCTTGTTGCCGCGTATTTATCGAAAGTACAGTAAAATTTCTGTTTTTTGGTACTTTGGCCTTTTTCATTTTTCGCTAAAATTTTGTCGATTACGATGATCGGTATTGCCGGTAACGTCAATGACGATCTGGCAACTCAAACTTTCTGCCAATCCATTAACTCCCTTCAATGTAAGGTGCTGACATCAGCAGTGGCGGATGCAGTGTACGTCAGAATAAATTATAGCTCCTCAATTTTAAATTCAAATTACTTTCAGAAAAACACTATTGGTTTTTAATTTCTAAAGAAGATAATTTTACCAATGGACTAACCTCTAAGGTGTTTAGAATTATAAATATACGCCAAAATGTGCTGCAGTAATTTATTTTGACGTACTATGGATCCGCCACAGTGACATGTACGAAAAGTTCTCAGTAGGTCAGTTCCTGTTAGTAGCTTATATTTGTCATTTATCTGTAAAACGTTTCTATGATAGTTTTAAAGGATTTTATGTCTTTTTCAGACACCTAAGCAATTTCCTTACAACGAAGACCTTCACATTTACAAAGATGGCGATCCAAAGCAAAGGCTTCGATTGGGTTGAAAGAAACTTTTTGTATATATAATTTATAGGCTGTAAGTTCGACGTATTAAAATATCGTGTTTCAATTGATCATGAGTAAGAAAGGGTTCTCTTGAAATACTATTACAGCAAGTTAAGTCTAGCCTACGTTGGCTACCTTAGTCTGGCTATGTTAGTTTCAGAACATTTTCATTGTTGATTTATCGTCGTGAAAAGCTGTCGTTCTTGCGTTGAGCGAAAACGATAGTTTTTCGTTGCATAACATGAGTTATGTATGAGGCGCCAATGTATGAGGCGCCTTAGCGATTTCATTTAAGGATGAAAAATCAGCTCAGTGACATAAGGAATGCCCGAGACGTTAAAATCGACGCAAAACATCGGGCAGAAAAATAAGACATGAACACCGAAACGTTATATAAATGTGGTAAACATGCGTTTATTTTCGCGATAAAATAAACTATGACTTAAACAAAGACCAAGTGCATGTGCATAAATCAAAATACAAAGACCTTTGGAAGATTCTTTGAAATTTAGTTATGAAGGCCCGTTCTGGTCAAAAATACCCAAATTATTTAAGAGTTTATGTAAGTTTTCTTTGTACGGTGAAATTATTTTTTTCCATCCAGTGTTTTTTTTTATATTGCCCAATTATTTTTCATAAGGTTATTATTTTTCTGTATAGGTAATTATTTTTTGGTTACATAAACTTACATAAACCCCTAAATATTTTTGAGCAGAACGGACCTTCATATTTAGTCGTTGTGTCGTCAATGGCGCCATGAAATTAAACCAAGAGACTTCGATTTACTGAATTGTTGCAGTTTTCTACGCAAAACATGGTAAAGAAAAAAAAAAAAGAGTTGTTCCGTCTCGTTTATTGCCAAGTCAGAAAAATAGTCACCCACGTACAAGGAGAAGGAAATGCTCATATATTCCATTAATTTCAACATTGCAATAACTTCCATGCGTTCTTAGTATTTTATTTTACAGTTTGCTATGACGTCACATTGTTAGATAAGAAAAAAAGCACGAGAAAAGCCATGCTCAATATGAAGAGTTTCCATGGTACGTTAACTGCTGCGACTTTGAATTTTGAATATTCAAAGAACGAAAATTAGACTTTGGTTCACATGAAAAATGTGCTAGTGCGATTTTTAATTTTGCTATTAGTATTTTTCGACAAAGAATAGCATTTTGTGGTGGGTATAAAATTATGTCCACGTGGCCCTTAACATTTGGACTGATGGACAGGAACGGCGGAAGATTGTTAATGGGAGGGGGTAACATTCATAAATGAATGTTCTACTATAGTAGTTTCTATTGAAATCAATTGTGATTACGGATTATGACACTCTTGATTATAACGTATGAATATATGAATGAGAACCCTCCCAATCATTGATCTTCCTTTCGCGGTTACGTATTTACGTTTCATGTACCACATTGCTAAATTTATTGTTGCTTATAATGGATAATGGCATTGTTGCCAGATAAAATCGCGCAGTGTTTATGTTTTCTTGAGTCAATAATTTCTAAACTTTGTTCACTATCTGGCAGCCATGTGTAATTGTGTGTTACTGAATTGTCTGTTACTGTTGATGATTACGTAATCATAGGAACAACAAATTTAGGTTTTTGGAGGGAAATTTGAGAAGAGTTATTTGGTATCTTTGGTTTCGCTGGGTAGTATGGATTCCATATTTTTATTTCATAATTCATCTCATCATTCTCATGAAAATATTTGCACACCAATAAACGAAACGTGCATTATCGTTATGTTGCATGTTCGAGAATATCGCCCAATATTGTTTAGTGTTAAGTATTGAAAAACTAATACAGAAATTGTGAAATAATGTTGTGATTTAAGTTCATATCAAATAAATCCAACATTAACTGCAGTCATCTTCAACAGAGCGTTAATGCGTTTTGTTAGCATGATTTTATGCAAAATCGATTGTGGAACCACATCTGACGACTAAAGCAACAAGAAAATTGTCTTTTGCGGATATTTGACATTTAATGTTGCATACTTTAAAAATTCAAAGTGCTATGTAGTTGTCTGTTTGGCGCTGCCCCTTAAACTAAAGCTGACTACTGATCACAGATATTTTATACTCCGATGTAAGGTTGTTTATTTTTGGGAAATATGTAGATATAAAGCTATTTTGGTGTTTTGCCAAATCTTAAGCTGATTCAAAAAAATGAACTAATGTTAGAAATGACTGGAGAAAATATGCAAGACACACCTCCCCGAACTATTGACGACGTACTTCCGGAGATGTACGGATGCTTACGAACGTGCGTTGGAACGATGCGATAAAAGGTATATAAAACGCTGCTCGTAAGGCATAAGGGCTCAACATCGGAACGCCCTGTATTTTCAAACTTACCAAATCTTGTGTACATATATCGGAGAGGATAGTCAACATTACGACGTTTCTATTCTCCCAAGAATTTTGGATTGACCGTGAATTATGTCTAGAGAGAAGGACACCGAACGGCAGTATAAACTGGTCGTCGTTGGTGGCGGTGGTGTTGGAAAATCTGCGTTAACTATACAGTTTATTCAGTCACATTTCGTCTCCGATTACGATCCGACGATTGAGGATAGCTACCGAAAGCAATGTGTGATCGACGAAAGAGTTGCACATTTAGATAGTAAGTTAGCTTGCCTGCCTTCTTAATACAGATACGAGTAATTAATCGAAAGCTAAAGCTTAGACTTAACGGCAGAGTTTATCAAGCAGCGAGCAGTACGGGCAACCCCCAAATCAATTTTATTTCGTGAATATTATGTGGAATGCTGCCCAGCCCAAATGATATGAATTGACGTGCCATAAAAGGATCAAACGTCCTACATATTTGCCCTATTTCTGTTGTTGTGTGTTGTTTTTGTTCGCGCTCGGCAACGCTCGAAATTGGCGTACTTGTTTTGGGATTGCATATGATTTGAGCAAATGAGATTCCGGGCTCCGACATTGTATCTCAGAATAACCTTTGATGCGCTTATTTTACCAAGATTTTGGCAATCTGCTTAAGGTTTGCGTTGATTTCGAGATGACCGAAGATTGTATCCTCTTGCCATAAATCCTGTAAATTTCGCTTTCTCAGCAGCAATATCTCGTTTTCTACAGACACGTAAATTTATGTCTCAGAGCTCGCACTAGTCTCATGACTTCAGCACTTCCCTGGAGGTTTTTGTTGAAAAGCTTGCCGAATCTTTAAGGAGAGAGTATTTCTCCCCCGCATGGATGGAAATCTAAGTTAAACGTGAGATGAGTTCCAGTGATTGCGAGAACAACATCCGTAATATTTTTCTTGCATAACGTCCGACGCTTACGTCCATTAATTAATAACACTCTGATATTTCAAATCATCGAAAGAACAAGGCAAATAGTTAGAATTGATGTCGTTGTTGCGTTAGGCATTTCATCTGAAATCGATTTCCAACAATTTTGATGACCAGACCATTGCTGAAGTTTTATGTAATCACTAAGCAGAGTAGAAATCACCAATAAATTGATGAACATATTAAACTGTTCGATCATGTTTCAAGCGGTCTTTTATTCATTCGGACGAGAAAGCATTTACAATATTTCCATTATTTACTTTTATCTCGTTTGCACGAGGCTTTTTGGCTGCATTTCATCGGTGTTAGACATTCGGTGTTTGTTTAAATATATAGAATGCATGTGATGGAGATGTGACTGACAACGTTATGTATATCCCAATAAATTTTGCTTAACGCCGTTTAAAATTGAAAATGTATTCTTCCAAAACGAAAAAAATCTGTTTTGTGTCTTGAAATCCTCAGCTCAATTTTACGAGACTCAAGAACCATAGAGTTGTATTAATACTAACGCTAATTTCTTTGTTTTCTCATATTTTTTTCAACGGAATATGTAAACATTTAGCAGCATGAGTTTCAGTAACAAATACCCAAATTATCGTTGTTTTATAATTAGCAATTATGATTAAAAATTGTTTAATATTTAAACTGATATTTATTTTGCGCATACACGGATTAGGGTAAATATTGGGTAAATTTTTTTAATGTCGTATAGCTGATTGTTAACGTTTTTTTTTATTAATCATTAGTTTTGGATACAGCTGGTCAGGAGGTAAGTGTTGTCATTTTGCTTTAACAACGTTTGTGTGACGCAAATTTTGCACAGAAATACTTTTGAATTATGACATTTGAATTTTGAAAACCGTATTATGTATCAAGGCAAAAAAAAATAGTTTCAAATTTGCCCTCAATTTTTATGAAAGACCGTTTTGTACTTAATACAACATGAAGTATTGAGAAATGATTGGCAATTCACTTACACTTGAATATTTTTAAATATTTTTTCAATGAGGGTATTTTGTAAGACATTGAACAACATTAGACATTGTTTTCTACTTGTTGTAGAGGTTCCTAATGAAAATACAGCTCTTAGCCTAGCTTTCTTTATATTATATGTGATCAGTTATAGTAGCGATCATCATTTAAACTAATATTTATTAAATGATAACATGTCCATATGGATGTAGCATTTTTCCACAAACCAAGTTTTAATTACTCTTATAATTACCTAAAGGAATTCAGTGCCATGAGGGAGCAGTACATGAGAAGTGGGGAAGGATTCTTATTGGTGTTCTCACTTACAGATAGGGCAAGGTAACTTCATGATATGGACGTGTTAATTTGGAAAGTTATGTCCAAATTCATTTCATTGTATTTTGTTATTTTAATGTAGCATTGAAAGTAACTTTAATAATGTTTTTGTTGTTTTTAGCTTTGACGAAATCAATAAATTTTACAATCAAATTTTAAGAGTAAAAGACAGAAGTGAATTTCCCATGATAATAGTGGGAAACAAATCTGATTTAGAACGCGAGAGAGTGGTATGGGATTATATATTCAATAGTTTTACTTTGATAGCCTAAACCTTTGCATCTAAGATTGTATTCACCTGTTTCACAGGTTTCATCTCAAGAAGGAAATGAATTAGGAAGGCAATTGAGGGTAACTATCGACCTTGTGCTTTCCTTGCTTTTGTAAATATTATTTACGAGTCGAGGTTAATGTCATAGGTACTAAATGTTGCCTGGTTTGGGGCCAGTATTTACTAGCCTCGGTGCAAACAAGCTGGAGTGTTAACACATTGATAAATCTTTTCACGATTATCACAAAAAATCTATGTACAAAATATATCTTAACATCTTAACCACAAGATTTAAACTTTGTATGTCATCTTGTTGAGAACATTTATTTTTTATGCAAGAAGATGAACACCATCGAATGTTTGTTGTTGATCCTTGTAGATTGTACTTTCACCTGCCTATACTTGTAATAGACATTAGCATTCAGATTTTAATGTTAAATGAGTAGGTGCAAAAGAATGATTACAATTATTTAAATTTTATACATTAACAATATCCATATGAAAAGAGTTTAGGTTTGTGTGCTTTGTTTGTAGATAATGTAGTATCTTGGAAAAAAGGGATTCCTGCTTAGTCATAAAAATGTACCTGTGCACGCATTAAGAAATAAAAGATGTTTGCTGTGTTTGCACAGGCTTGTGCAAGCCAAGGAGACCTTTGGGAGAACTTGAGAGCTAATCATTGAAGTCTGAGACCGACGGTTGAGGTTGCACTTGCTGAAACATCAGTGCAAATGTTGATCAGTGCAAATTGGTGTTGATCAGTGCAAACCAAGATCAAAGGTTGAGGGTTGCACTCAAAAAACATCTTTTATTTCTTTTGCAAAATAGCAATGCTGCATAACAAACAAATTTAAAACAAACGTTTTAATTTTTCTTGATTGATTTGCAAAGTCTCTTTGATTGATTTAATTGGTTGAGCTCAGATCTGATTAGCACAGGCTAATATGCAAACACAGCTTTTAACCAATCAGCGCACGCGTGTTATTGTGTTTATTTTTATAAAAAATTATGTAAACTGCCCATGTTTGCTTAGTGCTGGCAAGAGCATTGTGCAGAATAAACTCGTCTGTATTTTTCATGACTTCAAGTGCAAACAAGGCTGGCTTCACGATTATGTCAAGAATTGGAAATTTTGCAGGCAACCCACCTTTTTTTAAATAATTAAAGACATATTCTATTATTGACATGGGAGTTTTTCCTCAGGTTTTTTTCGGTCGTAAAGATAAAGTACATACAAATTTTTCTATTGCCTACCAGAGTACGGTTTGATTCAATGTTCAGCCAACGTGTTGAGATTTTGTAATTGTGTAGCTCAGTTTTTTGCTCTCTTTTTTGCTCACGAAATTCAATGAATGATTTGTCAACAGCATTCTTTATTGATATTTAGATCCCATATATTGAAGCTAGCGCCAAAACGAGAACAAATGTTGACGCTGCTTTCCACGACCTCGTAAGAGCAATAAGGTAAATGTGTGGTTTTCACATATTAAATTGTGGAGTATTGTTCACAAGCCTTTCATGAGAAGTTTCATGCTTATTACAACAAGTTTTGATTCAGAATTTAGTATAAGTCGTGATCATGAACGATACTGCGTTGTATATTTGCACACGCACACAGCTTGCCTTGTGTGTGCGAGAATCAGAAATTTGTCCAAGGAATTGTGCATGAAACATCTTAATGGAACACGTACTCTGAGCTCATATCATCGAATGCAAGCTAGTTAGTTTGTCATCGTCATTAGCGTAGGAAGAAAAAGAGTTCAGACTGAGGAGGCTGAAAATTCAAATATGTTACTTTTCATGGGTTTTCGGGGGAGAATGTTGAGCCTGTTAAATTTTCACATCAATATCAGTAAATTATAAGGTGTGGGGCTACAGCTTTTCCCAGTCTCACGCTAGATTTTCAAGTGTCGCCTTTTTTACATGGACCTTCAATTCCTATTTCTTGTATTTTAGGAAGTTTTATGCTCAACACGAAGCGCCTCAGAAAAAACCGAAGAAGAAAAAATGCATTATCTTATAAAATAACAAAGTTTACACTGAAAAATCTGAGTAGCATGTTAAATGATAAGTACTTTGTCGTTAGCACACATATAGTTGTGAATGGTAAACTTTGTACAGGAAAGATTGTACCCTGCATTATAATTAGCTATACCTGCATGAAAACATGAAATGCGTTGAGCGTAGACGTCATATTAATGCAGGAAGTTATATAATAGCAGCTTTTCATCATCATAATATAATTTACCGTTCAAGACCAATCTAATATAGTATAATGGCTTTCAAATTTCGCTATACCATTCTTGTTTCATTATATTTTTAGAAATAGATAATTTCAGTCTAAAGGCATAGCAAGCTGCAGTGTGCTTTCTTTTCTTTCAATTAGCTTATTTAAAACATTGACTCGTTTTATCTTTTAATTTGGACTACTGCATTAAAATGGGAAAAATGAATTCTATTATTTTAAAAATGGAATATGTTCGACTTCATTTTCACTCAGACGTCCAATGACATTTTTTCCTGCCGAACGTTCATGGAAGCATTATTGATTGGGTCATTCAAGTAGTGATAATTGTTGTAGTTCATCGTTTGACCGTAATAATGCTGCTATTCATGATTTTCTGTTCATCATTTGCTTGATCCGACAATGAAAAACTTTCGAAGTTGTGGAAATTTTGTCTGTGGGGTACGCTGCTCGATGATTGCACTGTCTCATTTTATCTGTCTTAAACCACCCACATGCCTCTCTACTAGATGATGCAATTATTGCATCATTAGTTCATTGATTGTTCATTTTTTCCGGAGCTAACAACCTTGGTTGATTTTGGAAAAGTATACCTTCTACTGACTGATTATTTTTATTAGCACCAAGGAAACGTGGCAGAAGAACCAATCAGTTTGCACACAGCTCAAATTTCGGCCTTTTCACAGCCTCTATATTATCTAAGAGCTATCGTTAGCCTACGCTAGAAAGTGGCAATTCAGAAAATGTGATCTTTTTGTGAATCACAGTTCACAAAATTCTCTGAACCAATTACTTGTTTGAAACGGTGTCAACTGTCAAAATAAGGGAAATCGAAAGCATTATATTTTTTCTATGTTAATCAACAGCAGCACTCTTGTGTAAATTTATTACACTATTGCTGCTCTTTTCACAATTTAACACATCCACTGTACACATTACTGTACACAATTTTTTTTTCTGAACTCTGATTGGGTGAATTTGGCCTAATTGCTTTTAACCTGCTAGGCGGGAAGCAGAGGTCAAGTTATTTATCCGTGGTTAATGGTCGCGAGCGTGAAATTGTTTTTTATATTGAGAATTTTCGATTTAGTTGCCCTCTTTGGTGTGCTGAAGTTACAAATAAAACCAAATAGTTCTTTGCTCTGTAATAAATATGCTTCACAACAACTTTTCAAACCGTTAATCGATGAAAAAGGATACCGAAAATGTAAGGTAAATATGAAAATTAGAGCATCTGAATTATCAAACTTTGTTTCTTGTTTTGCTCCAAACCACGGACCCCTCCCAAAATGAAATACGTTCTTACGTCCTTTTCTTCACTAAATACTGTTTGACTTTTTGGTGTTTTTTAGGTGATAACTAAACGACGAACGAGTTTCTCAGTTTTCATGAGGGTGGCATTGTGGCAAGTTTTCGCTCTTGTTGTGTTCATCAATTTGAACTTTGTTATTTTGCAAGGAAAGGTCATTTGGCTTCGCATTTAACCAATAACTTTAAGCTTTAGATACTACTTGTGATTAGTTTCAAAAGTATTATCTACATTGGCTAGTTTTTATTTTTTATTGACCTCTAATTGCTATTTAGTTGTTTATTGAATTGGAATTGAGATTTCACTATCGTAGGAATTGAATTTTCAGAGGTAAAGTAAGTTATATTCAACATAGCTTTTTAAAAGTTTGATCAGATGTTAACAAAATATTCAAGCAAGGGCAAAGAATCCGTAATCGTAAATGATTTCAATAGAAACTAAAACAGTAGAACATTCATATATGAATATTATCCCTCCCAATTATTAATCATCTACTGCCCTTTTAGTCAAGTGAAGTTGCCTGTAGCCTTTTAGTCAAGTGAAGTTGAATGTATTTCAAAGTTGTCAAAAATACTTTAAAAGTTATGTTTTTGCCTTTTTATTTATAGTTCCTATTTTATTTCTTTTTTGGCATATGTTTGTTTTTTAAAAAATTTTAAGGAAAACACATTGGTTACACATTGTAAAACGTAGTTACCCATGGACATGGCACCCCTCTGCCCAAGTATTGTTTATTGAATTGCCGAGATAGCAATATTGCAATAAGAACAATTGGGGGAGGGGAGGGGGAGGGAGTACAATAATTTGATCTTTCATAGTATTTTCATAAAAACATTAAATTCTATCCGTAAGATGGAGACAAAATAGCAAACCATTGATCGAAAGTTGCATTTGGGAGACCGTTTGTTGTTAAGTAATATGTATTCCCAAGATATTTGCCATCTAAAAATTCCATCAACTCTTTTGCTTTTGCATTCCGTCCTGTCGGGCTGTCCACGATTACAAAATTTGATTGTGAAAAGCCGTGATCGTGGACATCTTTGAAGACACTTTTTATAAGAGATTTTCCTACTTCGATGTCTTCGCAATAAAGTGGACCAAATTTGTAACCTTCTTCAGAGAAGAAGGCTAATTTTACAACAACGTAGCCTAAAATTCTGCCTTCTTTGCTGAATGCTACGCGCGCATGCGAACCCGGCGTATTTAACCACGTTTTTAAAAAATTTTCTCTTGTGTAACCGAACACTTTTTTTTCATAGAGTAAAACGTCATTCATGTTATTTTCATCGATGTCATTCAATTGAAAGTGGCCCGGATAACTTTGGAGTTTTTCTAAACTTCTTGAAACATTGAGATCGTAAATGCCAACCGGCCATTGACAAACATAACCCAACATATTCTTTAAGAATTTAATCCGTGAAGCTGGAGCGTAGCACTCGTTTATTGTTCTTGCTGGTTCTTCTTCATTGCGTTCCACCATAGCTTGTATGATACGTTTAGCATAGCCCATGTTTCGATAGTCTTTGTGGGTAATAAGAGAGCCGTGTTGGAAAACGTCTGAGCCATATTTAACGAGGGATATTGTTGCAACAGGTTTCTTTTATGACTCTACAACATACACCGAGGCTTGCTCGTGTTCTAATATGCAATCAATATCATTTACACAAGGTCTCCATCCTTCGTTTGCTTTAGTAAGCTGGTAATAGTATATATGTAACGTTGATGTTCTCTTTACCATTCGTAAGCTGATCGTCTTGCTCTTGCAAATTAATTGATATTCTAAGTTACACCACAGAATATAGCTATACGAAACGAATAATGTGACATGTGACATGTTCTATATACCACAATAAAGACCATGTAAGACTTAAAGGGGAACTCCACCCTCACATAATGTTGGTCTTAAAAGTTCCATTTTTAGGCAA